TGACATCTTCAATAACAATTTGTGGCTTTTTATTAACTACCATTTGTTTATCTTGTGAAATTCTTTTTAATATCGTTGATGACGTCAAAATCAGAATTTTGCTACGAGTTACAGTTGATGAAATTTGTGGAACCAATTGGGCTTGGGTGGTTGGTGCAGTGGAATTAATTCTGGCGTCGTGAAATTAATTCTGGGTATTGTGGAATTAATTCTGGGTGTCATAAAATCTCTGGGTGTAGAATCATATGTTTCCCAAATATCGCAGTGTTTAAACCTAATATGTTTCTTAACGGTATCTGTTAAATATAGTTTAACATATTTTTTTTTACATATTTTACATTGGATATACGAATCATTAATAAATTCAAAATGCTCTAATGCAAAATCCTGTCTCAATTTTTTATACCGCATAAAAAGTATGTAACTAAAAAAACAAATTACACAATTAAAAATCCATTTAGTCAATATAGACTGAATGGAGAATACAATAAATAAAAAATAAAATTACTCGCTATCTAAGTGATTCATTATCTGATACGCTATCACTATCTATCTTTTTTTTCTTTTTAATATTTTCCTCTACAACGATTTCTTTTTTTCTCTTGGCAGATATGGCCTTGGCATGGGAACGAAACTTGACATTGATAGCCTCAACAATCTCCTTGCGCTTCTCAGAGAGAGATGGTGTAAGGTCGGTTAGCTTGGCAAACTTGGCAACATCATAAGGCTGCTACTCACTATTATTCATAGGCTCGACATGCTTAGGAATCTGATCACCAATAAAGGAAAATAAATAGCACAGTTGTAAAGGCACTCTTTCCCATCAGGAAACTTATGAAAGCCCGAAACCTTAGTAATATAAAAAAGTTCATTGATAACGATCCCGGCCTCCTCTTCAGCTTCACGTTTTGCACAATCAATAAATAATTCACCAAATTACACACGTCCTCCAGTTACTTGCCACAAAAGATGATAATCTTTAAAAGAATTGATGCATTGAGATAACCAAATATTCTTCAAATCAGAAACCAATATGGTAAGACTGAAATTAC